TAGCGAAATTCCATGCTGTCCTACTTGTCAGCAGGTTAATAACTTGCTACCTGTGTTACAGCTAGTAGTCTGGGGCTACGTGGATTGAAATCCTTGCTCAGTGGAATTTACAGTTAAGAAAAGTTTTCGTATCCCTCAGAATTCGAACCCGGCACCCTCGAAACTCAGAACTAACCTCTTCTTATTCTGCCTTCAATTCAAACAGTAAAGTCTTAATTAGAAGAGCGTGATGAACTAATTCTTTGGACCTCATGTTGTAGGAAATCATTCTATCAGCGTTCTGCACTTATTCTTCCCGCGTGTATCTCTTTCATTAACTGAACATGAATTAATGACCTAGCTGCTTCGCAGACAATTTTTAACGCAGAAATACGGGTGAAATAAGGCGTGCATTTGTGCAACAATGATTTCTTCTGCATAGCAGAGATCAAGTTGTTTAAAATGTATGATGTGCTGTCATCATAATATAGTAATTGGTCGACTGATGTAGCAAGCAATCAAACAGATCCTGCCATGTTCAAAAACACGCAGGTTCCATGCGAAAACTATTACGGCTAAATTGCTCTAGCATTTTCGCCGTTTCACTGAGCACTGCGCACTTTCAACGATTTTCAGCCGACAGCTGTATCGAAAAATGTACTTTTATGTTACTTAAAAAGTAATGTACACGATGCGAGACTTTCAGTGGCATTTCTCGTTGGTCGTCGTAAACGATGTACGAAAGGAACGTTGGGAAGGTTTTATTTTTTCCCTCAAACGTGAAAGCAAAATGAGGGGTTTATTTATTACCTCCGTAATTACTCAATTCATTACGTTACAAATGAAGCACAACTCTATGTACTGTTGCCGGGTGATTCATTACTCTGTCGTCGACGGCAGTTCGCCGTCAGACGTTTGAGGTCGTTGAGGAAGGCGACTGCCGTCGTCGCCTTTCGTGTCCGCGTCCGCAACGGGATATGCCGAATATTCGACGTTGCGCTTGCGTCGAAATCTGCAGCCCATTCCCATTAGGCACGGATTGCCGAAGCCTCCTCCAATTCCTCCCATACCCATGCCGCCGCCAAGGCCACCAAAGCCTCCTAGACCGCCGCCTAGGCCACCGAGCATCATCGAACTGTAGCTCGTTCGACAGCCTACCATTGAGTAACTGCATAGGCGACCGGAGTAATATTGAGCCTGAAAATCGATTCATAATTTTTTGAATTGGTATATCGAAAAAGTTTTCTACATGAAAGTACTGCAAAGTCATACGAAAGTCTAGCTTGATTAATCATATTAATTTTTAGTTAGACAGGCAATATTTTTCGTGCAAGTGCATGCACAGAGCTTTCATCATCATTCCTGTTTTCTTGACCACTCATTGCATGATTATTTCTCCACAAGGCGTTATCCTCTTCTTCGAGTTTACACAATGTGATGAAGTGATTCATTAAAGTTTCTGTTGGTGTTAATACTGCCGATGTTCAGGAACAGTACCAAAAGAATGACAATCCATTGTTTTGGTGATACCATTTTCAAAACAGGCGGTTGTAGCTGCTGTATCGACCGCAATAGTACCTCTCTGTTGTGTCTAAGCAAGGTGCCTGGAAAGAAAACACCAAGAAATGGTATTGCTAAAGTTTCCAGATGGACAATAACCTTCTGTTCTGATCGCAGTGTCGTGGATATTGATTTTTTTCTGGATCAATGATAGAAAAATTATTCCATTCGAGGTTGGCACTGATCTCCACCAGGAGTGTGTATCGTCTTCTCTCATGTCCATACGCTTTATCGATTTGATCAGTATGCGTAGCTTAGGCATGAGTGACGGCTCATTTTGAGTTTCTCGATTGGACCGTTTATTGTTTACGGATGATCCGCTCTGTTCGCTTCGTCTAATGATGACCTTCAATTCTCTTGACCGCTACGTACGATGAGGTTGCAGTTAGAATCGCTGTCGACAGAGAACCCTTGCTGCATTGTGCAGTTCACCGGAGTGCCACCTCATCTGCTGAAAAGATTAATTATCACCTGGTATCAATTGTGAGCGATTGTAGCCGGACATTGAAATAAACACACAGATTGGACAGTCAGCCACTGCTATGCAAGATCTAACTCAATAAGCCCAATCTGTACTGATAAAGATGGAACTCAGTCGTAGTGCAAAGGGGTCTTTCAAGTAGCGAATGTACCTACCCTCAGTGAAGTGGGGGATCATGAGTGCGAGGTATTGGTCCAAAAACTGCATTCCCTGACTTTGCGTTCTTGCCCATAAGTCGACATTTCACGCTCAGGTTGAAGGAGATAGAGTGCTTGATGAAAAGACCGACGATGACTAGACTAAATGTAGTCCTTACCGTAATCAATGCATATCGCTCTTGTACGCCGTATTTACTCGCC